ACGGAAAAAGGCGTCAATGACGTCGCACTGCTCCATGGGCAGGAGCCATTGGCGTGTTACGCAGTATTTGATTCCGGAACCAGGTCGATTTCAGGACGCACACCTCCGTTCGGAAGTAGGACTGACGGCGGGTCTTTAAAGACGACTTCTTAAAATCCCTTTACCAAAGGATAGTAAAACCCGAGGGGGTTTTCAGGATCGAAGATCCACTTCGTGCGCTCAGCACCCTCTTGTTTTCCAAAAGTACAGCTTCATTCAAAAGCGACGACGAGTTAATCTCCTCTTATGGTCGTATAATGACCGCTTCGGCTAATTCACTTGCCTTCAAGGTACCGCCGAACTCTTCGAGAGACATCTCGTCCAGATCAAGAAGAGCATCCACCGTAGGCATAGCCTCAAGGATGACGTCGTCGCCCCCCGTCATACTGTTGACGAGGGTTTATAGCTATGCGCTATCGTCTACGGTAACACATCCTGGGTCAGGGTCGACGCCCGGCGTCTTGTAGCAAGCATATAGCGTCGCTGTCGCCTCTTCACAGAAGTTGTAAGCCTCGACGAGACCAATGGAAACACGCACTCATCGGCGTCCATTGTCAGCCACACTTTCTGCCCCACCGGAGCCCCGATGTTATTAACAACATCCAACGAAGAGCTGCTAGCTCCGCAAATTTGTCAAGTGAATAACGTGTCACTCCACGCGCATCTGAAGGGCCTTGCCCAAGATGCCTCGTACCTCGTCCGGCCAAGCCACTCGTGGCATGCAGCGACTGCTTTGAAACGTGAGCAATGCTCGGTGGATTACGTGCCGCCCCACGTGCATTGCTGGGTACTCGTCCTCGATGCCTCGGCCCTTGGCCAACCATGCCACGCATGGCATACATCGACTGCTCTTATACTTGAGCAGCGCACAGTGGGTTTTGTGCCACTCCACGTTCAGCACGCGAGCCATGCTCGGGAGTTCTGTCTGACGCACATTCGGTGTTCATCAACTCAGATACACTGATCTCCAGCACGTTGACTGTCTCCGTTCAATGCCCGCGCCAATGGCGTTTTTGCCTCCTAGCAGATGTGGGTTTATGACTCACCAAAGCTCCACCAGGAGACGTGCGCGTATCACCCAAATTCTTCGAACTCCAGTCGATCCATGGATCATGGTGTTCCAGCCATGCCATACCAAGGATGGGGTCATAACTTGGATCCAAGTCGAAGACTAAGCAGCGTTCCACGCTATCGAAGTCAGGAAACCTGACGCCGAGATCCACAGGGACCTTCGGAACAGTGACACAAGTTCCCGTCGCTAAGCGAACAGTGGCGGTGTCACTCATGGGAGCCGTCCTGTGGACAGCATCCAGCTGCTGCTTCTGTGCGTCGTCGAGGTCATTAGTAATGACACCACTTCCCTCGGAAGTCGAGAGGTCGTAAAAAGAACACAGCGTCCGCAAGGTTCGAGCAGGGCTCACGTCGCACCGCTGAAGTACCTTACACTCTTCTTCTACTTATCCTGGGAAAGGAGTATCCGACTCGTAGTCGACTTCCTGTAATTTCTCGACGAGGTAATTCATCGCCCGTAGCCGGCGCGGTGCGCGGTCGGGTATAGACATCGCGTCTGTGTTGTTGGTCGTGCGACCCATTCGCTGCGTGGTACTCGGTGACCGAGAGCTTGAGTGGTGCTTTTCTTGAAGTCGCGGACGAAGTTGCACCGCGTGCAGGAGACGTAGAAGGGCTCTGCCCGCGGACGTTCTCGGAACCAGCGAGGCTGGGTGTCTTCCGTGTCTTCGACACAGAGCTCCTTAAGCAGAGAATTTGAGAAGAAGATCTTGGTGATGTTGTGGTGTCTTAGACACGTGAGCCTCGTTCGAGGCAATTGTAGGTGTTAACAATGTTGGAGTTTACGGAGTTTCACGTGCCCTGACATGAAGGGTGTGAGTCACACGAGATGGTGTGATCGCACAATGACGTTTCACGTACCCTGATATGAAGGGTGTGGGTCACACGAGATGGTGTGTGTTACAAAACATGGTGTGACCACAAAATGGTACGGCAGCTTCGCTGCAACAAGTGCTAACAAGTGCAACAAAATTGCCGTGCATTTGCACATAAGATGCATTGACCCTCAGATCCTCAAAGTCCGCGTTAACAAACGCGCAAAGGGTAAATTTGTGCGCTCCTACCAGGAGCGGAATCAAGATACTCTCTAATATTATATATTCACAATTACATTTAGTGTAACGTGAATTTTGTACAATTGTTACTTGTTATTCATCACCTCGGAGAATCATCTCTCTTATCTGTACTAGTTTTGTCATGGTATTTTATCATATTACGATACAGATGTACATCTGAGCCTGGCTCGTAGTCTGAGTGACAACAGCTTAATGTGCAATACTCACCCAAAGAGCACATATCTCAATAAGATAATTATAGTCATGATTCCTGTGCAAACGTCGTTTCTGAATTGAATATGCTGCAGAATACAACATGCTAGATTAGTTGAAGACTATAATCGACTAATCGGGCGGGTAAGTGACAACACTTCTCCGCATTGAGCCTTTAAGCAATATGCTGTGCCTCAGACGCAACAAATGAAAGGTCTTTTAAATAAGTGTACTGTTAACTAGTTCAGCGTAAACACCCAATTTTCGACTTTGTCTGAAAAGGCAATTACAACGTATTTAATCTGGATATTTATGCGGATCTTTGCATTGCTGTTTCAGTCATCACAGTTTGCTTCCATATACCTAGGTACCATGTGCACTTTCCTTTAAAGCCTTACATATTAGCTAATCCATATAATGCGACTCTTCTGAAAATTGAGTGTGCACAGAAACATCAGTACATACCTAGAATGCCAGAGAGGTAGTTGTTTGAGGATAGCAATACAAGCTTCTTGTGTTAGTTTAAAATGTTATGCGATCGCTTAGGCAAAAGCCGACATTCAGATCTTCCTAAGTTATTCGCTAATATGTGGTTACAAGACTTCATTCATACTTGAGTGCACCTGTGTTCAGTCTCCTGCTGTCTTCAGAATTCAAAAGAGCAAAAACATCTAAACTACCACTGAGGCTGAGCCAGGAAGTCTCGCTGGTAAAAATGTGTCAACCAGTTCTCAACTTGCACCCTTCCACTCGCAATCGTTGACATGGTAACCGGTGATGAGAGAACGCTGGATCTGACTACAACTTTCGGACTCAATGCACTTGCCGCATTAGCCACTGTCCTAGGTGGTTGTGTCATTTTCAGCAACAAACTCCTACAACTCGCCAGTCCCATGTTCATGGCTGTTCTCCTTAGTGTATCTGGGGGAATAACGCTTTTTCAAACTCTCGTCCTACTGCTGGCAAGCTCGTTTCAAGAATTTTATGAAACATTCGGAGAAAGTGACGGTGCTGACAAAATGAGGATAGACGACAACGATATCGGCAATGCATGGCTGGCAGCCACTGGGTGTTTTGGTGGTGGTATACTCATTAGCTACCTTGTCGACTATATCGTTCAGAAACTCACGCCGGGTCAAAATATGAATGGCACAGCTCGTATGCACCCCGAACGTCTGTCATTCGAAGAAGGTATGTATGACCTCAAGCCACCAATAGAACTCGCTCAAAACCAGGGCAGCGATGTATTTATCAAAATGGACGAAGCTGCCAAAGAGAAGCTGCAGCGTATGGGCATTCTGAGTGCCATGGCAGTTGGTATTCATAATATTCCCGAAGGCATAACTACATTCGTGGCTTCCTCCGAACATGCGTGGATTGGACTGTCACTTGCGATTGGTGTCGCTCTACACAATGTTGCCGAGGGCATTGCAGTTGCTGCACCAATTTACTTTGCAACAGGCAGCACATGTCGCGGTCTACTTTGGTGTTTCTTATCAGTTCTTGCACAACATATTGGTGGTCTCATAGCATTTGTGTCACTTGGCACAGATGCCGATAATGCATCGCAGGGCATTTTATACGGTTTGTGCGCCGGTATGTTGTCTGGCATCACTATGAAAGAAATCATTCCTACTGCCTACATGTACGCTAATGGACGGATGTACCTCGTGTCGGCTGGTGCACTAGGTGGTATGTTCTTAATGTCTACCGGGCTCATTTTCTTCAAGTACATCGGCGTATGACTTGATTATATTAATATCAAGAATTTAAAAATCCTGGTATAAGTGAGAACCATAAGTGGACATGTGTAAAAATTTTAAAATAATGAATATCATGCATCTTGTTGATTTTAGTAGGTGACAGTGCGGCGGAGACGATTTTCCTTACATGTTCTGCAGATGCAACGACCATCCACGATTGGACAGCTTAGCGCTTTCGTATGAAATACTTCACCCTTGTGATAATGACAGAACTCGCGGTCACATAGGCAGCAGTAGTGCAAAATACGTCGATCCAAAGTAGCACTGAACGGCACCTTCTTCTTGCATTTCGGGTCGTGACAAATGTAGCACTGATTGCGTAATGCACGTGTTTTGGCTGGAGGATGTCGCGGTCGGAGTTTTCCCTTAAGCTCTGGAACTGGAACCATGTATGTAGATCGACTTGAACTTGTGACAAGACCAAATTTGTTTGTAGCCTGAACAACAAACTTGTACGTCTCGCCGTGATGCAATTTGTCTACAATGACTGTAGTTGGTAATGGTACAGCTAACAACTTGATCCATTTCTCTTCTTCTGTCTTTGTTCGCGTCCAGCGTACGGTATAGCATACAATTGGAACCCCATTGTCCACTGGTTTCTCCCATGATACACGAGCAGCAGCATTTTCTACAGTTGTCTTGCTTGGCTCAACTTCCACTGTCACGCGCGAAGGCATGTTCGGTGGCAATCGGCGTAAAAGGCGAAGCAGCGAGTCAGCATCTCCATATATAATACCGCGAATTGGCAACATTACCATGACAAGAAGGACGATTGCGTCATCTAGCCACCAAAAGTACATCTTCAGCAGACCCCATACGCTTTGACCCTCGTGCTCGTCGTTATCATTGGAAGAATCTGCATCTGAATTCATGTTACTGCCACTCTGAGACGACTGCGAATATGAAGACCGTGACGTTCCTGAGCTGGACATTGACGGCAAAGTTTGTGCTAATGATGATGTTGCAGCACTACCCAGAGCGTCTTCACAACGCACATAAGTGCGAGGACTTCGTCCATATGAATTCCAGGTCGTGAGACGGTAGATTACGTGTTCACGAGGTTCCACGACGTCGAGAAACTCCGTGTCCGCTCCTGTATACACTGTAATCCAGGTCGACTCACCAGGACTTCGACGTTGGAGTTGGTAACGTTGTGGCGTCTCTTCAGCTGGCACCCACGCAATTTGTAGTAGCTTTTTATCCTGCGCCGTCGAGCCTTCCGCAGTACAAATACTTGATAAAGCGGCTTCAGGTTTGCGTCCCATACCAAGATATTTCATTTGTAGGAACATCGCCAGTTGACGGCGATGCAACTCACTATAAACACCAACTTCCTGTAATCTCGCGCCATCATTTGCCATAAGCAAGGGAAATGTATAGCCAGAGATTGAATTGGCTCGAAATACGTCACTGTACTGGGGCAATTGCACAGCATAAGCCACCCAGTCGGCCACCTCGGCCACAGTCATTTCAGCACCTACACTCTCCCATCGTTCATCCAGCTCTTTCCATGAGATGACGGTGTCGTGATCACTGTCCAATTTCTTAAGTGCTGCATCTACGTCGTGATCAGTCTGTGCCCTAATCTTGAGTTCCGATAAGTCTAAGCCGCCACTATCGTCGGTATCAAGCAAGTGGTGCAGTTTGTCTTTTATCTGCTGGATCTCGCGATATTCCACGCGTCCGTCGCGGTCAAAGTCTGCTAGTAAACTCTCTGCAGTTTCCGTCGCAAGCACAAACGTAAGCACTTAAGCAAGACAAGCACGTGGTATAGACCACAAATCTTAGCTTCTAATTGGTAACATCATAGAGTGCAACGTATAGATATTAGTAGTCACCCACGTACCAACTTCGGGCTCCTGGTAGGTTTTATTGCACTTATTGGGTTTCTTGCATGTAATATCGACATCTTCGCTTGTTCCATCTGTCGTAACCCCTACCGACATGATATTGCTAGTATCTGAGACAATATAGCTAATCAGAGCGTGTATGGACACAACACAAGCATTGTATGCTGATACCTTTCGTACGTGTTGTGACGACGTCCTTAGCGTTAATCGTTTTTGCGCATAACAAAAGAACAAACGCTGTCACTGCGAATGCTTTCGGCAGCGCAATCCATCGACGACTAATTGGACAAGAAACGCAGACGCTATAGCGTATGCAGCAGTGGCAAACCCGCGGAGGATGCAGCGGTCGCATTGTTGAGCTGCGATCCTAAATCCTTGAAATTGTCACACATTTGTGGTCTTTTCAAAATACCTGGCCAATGATACGAGTCTGCACCAGGTTCTTTTTCCGTATATATGCAGCGGTCTAAAATAGGTAGATTGCCCAAAAGTATATTCATAATTAAAAACTGTCAGTACCACATCAACAATATTAATTGTTGGCTGGATCAAAATTTAATATTCAGAAAGAATGTAGACGTCTGAACTAACTGTAGAGGAGTGAGGATAGGAATGAAGCACAACCTTGACTTTTGCGAGATTATGTAGCTTTTCTGTTGCGATCGGAGAGGATAATCAATGAGCTGACGTGATCAAACTTTTTTTCATCGCATAGGTCCCGAAGGTTTGCTATTTTGAGGCCTTACGCAGTCGAGAATTATATTATGGGTACAAAATGACCTTTTTTATCGCTACTTTTAGTCAAGCAGGAATTGCTGACTCTCTTGAGCTTTAATACTCAATAATCTTTACCCAAAAAGAGTCGCATGTAGGTTGTGAGAATGTAACGAGATCTGGTGTTTGAGGCCAGTGATTCTCAACATTAAACCTTCGGGAAGAAGAAAAACCTCCTTCGTTCTACGCACTTCAACTTGCCTTTTGCTGATGACTTCGCCGCCTCCACTGAGCAACATGTTGCCCATCGCATCCGATGCAATGTCTGGTCCTCCTGCGATGAAAAAAAAGAAACCTGGACGTACACCGAGTCTCATTTGGCAACTACTCACAGACGAACCTGATCCGCAGCGTCGCAATTCGGCGACTTGTAAACACTGCAAAGAATCTGTTGCATACTACAAAAAGTCCGAGCAAGCCATTCGCCATCTCAAGAAATGTTCACGTTTTCAAGAGATGCAGCACCAATTCACCTTTATGAATCAATTTTCTGACCATTTACCACTATACAACCAAAAAGTTATGGCGAAAAGTCCAGCGACAAAGCGACCAAAAACGGATCAAACTTTAAGTCAGCGAGCTCAAGCTCAAGCACAATTAGACGTACAACTTCAAGCAACGGGAATGCTTGGGAGTGCATTGGATCAAGCAGCGGCACATCATGCGCAAGTGATGAATCAAATTGCCATGCAACGTAGTTTGTCCGAGGGTTTGATTGATCCAACTTCTATGACCGTGACGTTGAAAGACGATACAAAGGAAATAGTATCAAAAGCCAAAAACACCAAGTACGGGCCATTGTCTAAGACACAGAATGAGCGGTTTGAAGAGGAATTGGCCATGCACGTATATGTCACGGGAATGGCATTTGATGCAGTTGAAGACTCTCATTTTGCTAGAGCTTTAGCATTGCTACGACCAAATGTCAAGCTTTTTGACAAAAAAAGACTGGAAACGGACTTGATGAATCGATGCTATGAGAACATGCACAAGCAAGTGTGGGGGAGTCTATCATCAAGTCTTGCTCGAGTTTGTTTAAAGCGAGATGCGTGGTCGAATTGGAATTTGTATCATAAGCGTAACTCCGACGAAGCGTATGTTACGTATATGGCCGTAAGAAACGACAAGCGCTTTTTCCTAGAATCGGAAAAAGCTACAGGAACCGAGTCACAGTACAATTCCATCTTGATTGCTCAAGATATCAAGCGAATGATGCAGCCCATTGTGAGTAATGTTAGTGGAGTCGTCACAGGAAGCACAGAGTATCATTCGCGAGCATGGGATATGCTTAAGGCTGAGTATCCTACTAAGTTTTTCTACGGATGCATATGTCACGCACTTCATTTGGCAATAATGGACATTTTTGGCCCATCAAAGACACTTGACAATGATTTCAGACGATCGACACCGCAAGTTCCGATGGGCTTCCCGTTTCAGGATATGGTCGAGCTGACGACTAACTGCACTGAATTGTTGTCGTTTTTTAGCAGCTATCAGTACGCGCCAAAGTACAAAGTGTTCGATTCGCAGCTGTTGCATTCTATAAAGGAGTTTTCGAATGCGTCGTCGACCATGTCTTGGGGTACGTTAGCAGCACGATTTCGTTTATTAATGCAGTCTGAAGATATATTACAGTCGATTGTTAGTGACCCCGACTTCCTTGGTCCTGAGTCACCATCAAATCAACGTGCGATTCGGTCAAATATTAAAAATTTTGTACTGAGTTTAAACTGGAAATTAACTCTGGAAAAGGCCATTACCATTCTGACGCCGATCGAGTTAATATTGTACAAGTTTCAAGATGATCGAGCGCCGATTTCTGAGGTTTATTTTGAGTCCAAGCATTTACTTACGGACTTTGACGCAGTTTTTGGTCTCGCGACGATCGAACTTGAATACATTAAAAAGGTTGTAACGGAGCGCTGGCAGTACGTCCTGAGTGAAGCTCATGGATTGGCGTTCTTGCTGGACCCTCGATATATTGGCAAATCTATGACAAGGGATTATCGCGAGCAAATCGAAGAGCTAATATTTAACTTTCCCGAAACGGATCAGGACGTGGGAATAAACCAAGAGCGAAGAAGCTTTATGTCTGAAGAATACAATGATTACGTCATCTACGCCAAGAATCAGCGCAACAATCGCACGTACAAATGGGAAATGCTTGAAAAAGGTAATCGTACGCCATTACAGTTCTGGCAAACGGATGCAGACGATTGGCCACACCTTAAGTCTCTGGCGCTGACTCTGTTCTCGCTGGCACCAAGTAGTGTAGCGTCTGAAAACACGCTCTGTAAGAGTACATTGACGCAGTCCCGTCGCCGCAACAAGCTAAGTTATGATGATATGAGACGTTTGGCTTTTATTTGTATTAACGACTCGCAGTTCACCGGAAATCGCGTGCTTCGTGAAGTACCAAACACCACATTGCCCGACTTCACCATGGGAGACACAGCGCTTTCGCCAGACGGCATGATGATGTGGATGATCTAAAAGGGGTGTGGCTGCCTTTCGCTCACTTTTATATGAATGGCTGGCGAATATTGATTTTAAACACGTAACGATGTGCTGGATACTTCATGTTTCGTTGTGAAAATCGATAATTTTACAAACGTCGCGAGTTAACCATTCCATTCGTGCGGACACGATCTGAGCGTCGACTTTGTTTGAGTTGATGTGGGAAACTTGTTGACAGGATCCATCAAGTAATTGGGTGTGATCCTCTGACAGGCGACAAATACAGGAGCTATGTAAGCTCCAGCAAGTTTTGTTGTTTTGTGATTAATCATACCTCAGCTTTCTCTCTCGTGTCTGTGTCATTTGTGAGGCGGTTCATGGAGATACTAAAATTGAGTTTAAGAAATACATGAATCGCCCGGTAATGGATAATATGCATAGCTTTGGTGATAATATGGGATATTTGGCTTATATATGTATTATCAACTCACAGTTCTCGGGAAATCTTGTGCTTTGTGAAGTGCCATACAGCACATTGCCCGATTTTGCCACGGAAGACACGGCGCTTTCGCTAGATAGCATGATGGTGTGAATGCTCAATAAGAAGTTTGACAGCCGTACGCCTGGTTACACCTACGACAAATGTCGCTTAATTACTTGACTTGGCAGAAAGCTATCATCTCCAAAGTTGCTGCGCGCAAGTAAACACTCTTGCTCGAAGCTCGCTTGAAGAACTGGGCGCTTGACACAAGAAGCTTTGCAGTGAGAGCCGGCTGTGCGTTCACAAAATTCTGATTGAGGCATTTCTGGGCGTGTCTAACGAGCAAAATTTCAAGGTGATGAATGCATTTAGACAAGTAATTACCGTGTCGACCCTTGGACTACCCACAATAATTATTTTTTATTACGACTCGGTCGTCGAATTGACGACAAGTGCTATCACGTGCGAATGAGTTCCCATAAACTTCGCACAGAAAATGGATTTGTACGCTCTCCGAGAAACAAAACTAGAGCCCTTCAAGTTAACATTTATGTTGATTTGTTGGTGAAAGCCGAATTTTATTTATATTTCTGTTCAATGCTGCCATATCTATACCAACTGTGATGACTCGAAAGAGCATAAAAAGAATGAAGGGACGCTTAGAGCCCGAAAATAAATCTGTGATTTTTTTCTATTTAAGCATTCAATGATGAAAGTGGAGCCACCGCCTAGGCGAATCTACGTTTGTTTACTGTAAGAACAAACGTAGAATTTGTGCGTGTGAAATAGACGTATAGATACGTAGTTACTCTCCAATGCACTAAAGAGTGCTTGTGGTGAATTTGACGACCCAGTCATAATAAAAATGTAATCTGGTGGGTATGAATCACGATTTGCTCACTTTTCTAAATTCAACACAATTATACAGCTTCTGTCTTCATTTGAACCCACGAAATACGATAATTGGCACTTCAAGGGTCAACAGCAGTAATCGCTTTCCTAAAGGCATTCATCACCGAGGTTTATGTGTTGGTGATCCAGGCAGTAGCGTACAATGCTAGCAACCTCCAATTTAGGAAGCTGCGCCCAAGAATAGGCACTAACGTGCATTGATTCCTTAGGAGAAGCCTTCCCCAAGAGTAAAGTGTTTGAACGACACAGTAGAGCTATGGCGTGGACTAGCAGCTCATGTGTCCCTCAGACATCCCCTTATGGGGCCTGCAGCGGTGCTGCCATAGCTTTGCGCTTGAGGAAACGTCTTTAGATCACCGACTTCTCGTTCTTTACAAGAACCAAGTACGAGCGCAGCGGACTGCCTCCAAGAGTACTTAAAACCTTAACCAAGGTAAAATTGAAACTGATTTTTATTTATTTTTATCCTAATTATTAATGTTTAGATTTTCCTAAATATACTAAATATATGCAGAAAAATTTAAATATACAACCACTGGCTACCTAGCCTCATACCGTATTCTTGTTTGGGTGCAGTCACAGCATGCACATCTTATGTGACACGCACACCTGTTACCAGGGTACGTGTAGCCCCGTTACACCCTCCCCCACTAAAATTGAGAACATTTAGAGTTCCAATCGATGATTGTCTCAAAGAGGCTCGCGTGTCCGTTACACACTGCAACTCCATTTGTTGTGACAACAACTTCCTTGCTCAATGATCCCTGTGTCGATGACACCAAAATCTTCAAGTCTCGCCGGTTCTGACGGTA